GCCTCGCTCATACAACGCAGAATTACAAACAGCAACCCCTCCCCGATCAGGAGACATTCAGCTTTGTCACAGCCCAATTACAACACCGCCGCACTATGGGGGTGGGGAGGCTGCTCTGGTTTGGGTTTTTTCCCAGAGGAATTAAATTCTGCAGGCTATTTAATACAGTGCACGAACAAAGCATACTAGGTGTTTGGAAACAAGTCAGTTGCTAACAGATCACAATAGTCCTTCCTCTTGCAGAAGGAGCTCCCAAGCCCTTTTTCCATTGCCCTTTCTGTTGCTGCTTGAGTGATTCCTGTAATTAGGACTGTGCTTTATCCCAAATTGCCATGCCAGGGACTCATCCAGGGAGGTGGAGGAACCCAAACAGTTCAAGAGCTGGAGTCAATGGGAAGCTGCATCTCCCCAGATACTCATGGCTCATCCTTTGCTTGGGTTCTCACCTGCAGAGTTTTGCTCAGCCCCCAGCTCCATAGCCAGGCCACTGCTCTGAGATGGGTGTCTGAAGCGTGGGTGAGGGAAAGGAGAAGAGGGAAGCAGGGCTGAGCTCCTCACACAGCTATGGAGCATGCAGTGAAGCCACCAGGGAGGACTTGAAGCTTGCTGTTGGCTTACTTCTAATTTTGGAATGTTTCTTACCATCCACTGCTGTAAGACACCACCAGCCCAGACTCAGACTGGCTTAGCTCAGCAGGAGACCCCCCCAACATAATACCAAAGTACCTTCCCTTGTGGCACTCCTCTCCCATGGCAAGTCCCTTCACGTGGACAAAACTTCAGATTACAAGAAGGTATGAACTTAACGGAGCACATATCCCAACCAAGACATGGTGCATCACACAAAGAGGAACATCCTGGGAAGGAATCTGTACCTTAATGACTTTAAAATCTGTGAGCAACACTCAAACACCTCCTTCACAGCTGCAGAGAGCCGGGACATGCCTCAATAGCCAAACCTCATTACACAAACCATCACTTCATTTATTCTGCCCAGTTGAGGTGGGACAAGGGACACTGAGCCCCTGATAAGATGCTCTCTCTACAAGATATGACTCAAAAAAGGCCACAGCTGTGCCTTTCATCAAAAACACAACTTCCTTTAGGAGTCCTACAAATGGGCTTCTCCAGAGCAGAGCCCTGCCCTATGTTGTGGGTAATTAGTGGGCACGTCTGGAGAATGAGATACAACCTCGAGCAGCACCAAGCCCCACTTAGTTAAAACCCTAATACTTCTTACAGTATGAATCAATCCCACTGTCTCGCCTCTCCACATATCTCCACTCCACTCAGATAATGCAAAAAGCAAGTCTGGAGAGCCCATTAAAAGCCACTCAACTGGAAAATAGTTTCTGGCCTAATTCTAGCACTGGGGTCTTAGTCAGGGAGAGAAATCTGACAGCAAGAGTGTGTCTGCAGGGAGGAGGAGGCAGAGATGTTAACTACTTCACCAATCTAATGTATAGCACTCTCCAAGAGTAATTAATAATTAATATTCGTAGCCTGCTTAAATCTGTTGACTCTGTAAACCGCAGCCTCTCACTTAAAGGACTCTCGGCATGCTGAGACAAACTGAAGAACATTCCCCATGGAGAGACTCAGCATAAACAAGAGCAATGGCAACTCCCAGCTACTCAACCCTAGTTTTAATCCCTCTGCTTCTCTTGCTTTCTTTGTCTTGTTGAATTAATTATAATTCCTCAGCAGTGTCTCTGACCAGAGATGGACAGAAAGTCCAGCAACTCTACTACTGCTTCAACAGAAGCAGTAAGATCCTGGGTTGGCACAGGACACTGAAGTCACCAATTCCAACCTCCCTCAAAGGGCCTGCTCAGATGTTTATGGGCCATGGTCCACACACTGCACACTAGAGGACATGCAGGATAGCAGTGGAGAAGGGTCTTTAGTACAGACAAATGCTGCCAACAAACGTTAGTCTTGTCTCCTTTCAAGCACTTGAGGTTATCAACAAAGATAGGTTATCAGATTTATAGATGGAGTTATCAGATTCAAGAGTTGAGCTTATTGCATCAAAGATCAATTAGAGCTTTCTGAAGACTGAAATGCACCGTTAGAGCATTTAAGCTCATCTTGTAGAAGCCCTGAGCCTGCCATAATTCAAACCATTGCCCTCTTTTGCAACAGCCAAGCAATGAAGGACTCTTTGAGAAGGCTGAAGCTCTGCACACTTCCCTCAGCAACAGCTGACCATATTAAGAAGATGATTAACTAGCCGCCACTAATCCCTTATTCTTTCAGAGTAATGTTCAAGCACAGCTCCCTGGCTGCTCTTCACTAGCATCCAGACTCACTCTAAACCCTGTACTGTGGTGGGAAATCACAGCTAGGTACAGAGCTGGGTGGTTTAAAGTCAACACAGAGATACAGCAAGCTGTCAATGTAAAATGCCCTTCTGTGAGCATACTGCTCAAGGTCCATTTCTCAAGTGACCTCTAGGTATCAGCGAACTAAAACGGCCCAAAACCAATACAATACAGTCAGGAAAATAGCAAGGTCTTTCTCAGCAGACGCTGGTTAGGCCCACATGAAAAGTCACAGTTTTGGTCACAAAACTCCAGTTCGCTGCCTTCAGTCCAACCAATTCTCCTTTCTCTGGTGCAGCCCATAATCCATTTAGCCCTCTTTCAAAGCTGCAGATGTAATTCATAGTTTCCCTCTTTTCCCCACTTCCCAGCATTGTCTCAGTCTTAATCCGAGTTTCAGCCACCACAAGACACTAGATGTCTAGGCATCATGGGCATGGTATCTGTTGGATTTGGGTCATACGAATTAATAGCATAGGGATGCCTATCAACAGTGTCACGGTTTAAGCCCAGCCACGCACCTCATTCACTCACTCCCCCACTTCCTCCCTCAACTCCTGGAGTGATAGGGAGAATGGAAAGACTGTAACTCCCACAGGCTGAGATAAGAACAATCCAGTAACTAAGGTGTAACACAAACCACTACTGCTACCACCAGTAATAATAATGAGAAGGGAAATAACAAGGGAAGAGAATACAACCGCTCACCACCCGCCAACCAATACCCAGCCCAGCCCTGGCAGTGTTCTAGCCCTTCCAGGTAACTGCCCCTAGTTCTACAGCCTGGGCATGATGTGCTGTGGTATGGAATACCTCTTTGGCTAGTTTGGGTTGGGTGTCCAGTCTCTGCTTCCTCCTGGCTTCCCCTCCTCCCTGGCAGAGCATGAGACTCACGAAGTCCTTGGTCAGAATAAACATTACTGAGCAGCCACTAAAAACATCAGTGTTATCAGCACTGTTCCCAGGCCAAATGTCAAAACCACAGCACTGCACCAGCTACTAAGAAAGAGAAAAATGACTGCTACTACTGAACCCAGGACAAACAGCATGCTGAAATCAAGCTATAGTAAGCCACTTGAGGTTTCCCATGTTGAAAAGTGGTGATACAAGGAAAGACAGATTTTCCTGATGGGAACCACAACTCTTGAAGAACAAGATTGTCTCCTCCTAATGGCACAAACCAGAAGAATTAGGCATCTTTGTGAATCTGGCCTATGGGATCACCCAAACTGTCCTAATTTTGTTCCTGTAGGATCATCCCCAGGCTTAAACTGACTTCCACAGAAATCACAGATCACCTTTTCTTTTGGTTTTACTCAGGACTAGGAGGAGACCCTTTAAATATCATACATTGGGGTAAGTTGATATACACATGCATGACTTGTTTTGTAGCAGATTTGGGTCATTCATTACATGTGTATATTACTACTTCTGCTGTATTCCAGGTTTGGTAGAACACAAATAAATCCTTTCACATTATTCTATGATTTGCATTATGAGTTGTATTTTCTCATAGCTACAATTTAATCTGGTGATCGCCTTCTAAGATACAGGAAATAGTTGAACATAGTAGGTCACATTTTATACCTTATTTCCCATGAAAACTCTAAATTCTGTTTAGTTACTTTAATCAGTATTCAACAAATACAGGCCCACTGAAATTTGTTTTTCTTTCCAAAGTGTAATGGAAAAAAGGCCTGCTTGCTAGCATTCAGGTGTGAGCACACCAAAAAATACCTAATATCAGGAAACAATTACACATCTTCCCTTGAATTAATAATTTGCATTTAGAAAGGAGGAAAATAAGATCATAAATAACTTTCTCCCTAGCTTCTTATAAAAGCAAGGACAACCAATGTTATTCCATAGTTAAAATGTACCAAGGACATGGTTGTCCTGCAAAGATGTGAGCATGTTTTAAACACTGAAAAACCAAGCCTTGTGAGAATGAACCATGGGAGAATGTGACAATTTTTGCACTGTGGTGCAAAATATCAATATTTTGGAGAAAAGAAACCCAAAGAAACCTCACTTGTTACTTGCCTCTGTGTTTGTGCATATTGCCTTAACACTCCAAGCCAATAAGACCTTCCCTGGAGATTCACAGTGAGACAGATTTAACCGGTCTAGTTCCCCAAAGATTTAAAAACCTGAGGAAAAATTAGTAAATACCTTTTCTACTAAAATTCCTTTTTCTAATAAATTCCTTTTCTACTAAAATGAGAAAAGCAATCGTTTGCGTTTGAATGAAACCTCTTAACTTAAACAAAATGCTTCATTTGGTCACCAAGCATCTGTAAAGAGCTTGGTGAGATTTCCAGACAAATGTGTGTAAGAGTTGAAACCTAAAGTCCAACATTTTCATTAGGACATGAAACAAAAGGCATCAAGGCAAAACAGGAGGTTTTGGGGGGTACAATTTCTTTCCCATATCCCTCACCCTTATATGAGGGAAGTCTAAATGAATTTCCAAATATTTCAGGGTTGTCAGATATTGAGAGGGAGGCCACAATAAAAAATACCCCTATCGAAAACAGTAATCTACCCAACCCTCTATCAAGGGTTTATCAAGGGAGGCTCATTGGGTCCGCAATCTCTGCTATAGCTTCCAATTGCTAATGAGATAGGTGCCACCATGTAGGCAATGGGTTTGCTGGACTCACCTTGCAGCAGTTGAGCGCTGTCAGCTGAATTCCAGGCTTTTCCACTTCACTGGTGTATTTCAATCGTCAGAGCAAAAGCATCTCTTCATGTCCAAGAAACGTGGGTTTAAAGGGAGAGGTATCAGACTGTACTGCCAGGAACAGACCTAAGGCACACAAGACACAGAAGGAGCATGGGAAAATGGCTGCTTTTTCTCTGATTTCTACTGATGTTGCCATTAGCAGCTTCTCTGAGCTTCCTGCTGCTAAACTTGACACCCACCAGCACTTTCTCACACCAATTCTTCTCCATGTAATCTCCATTCTTTCTTCACCCCCTTAGGTTCAACCCTACTGAGAACAACAACATCTACCTGTAAGAAAGATGGAATAAGCAAGGCCAGAGAGCACGAGTCTCCTCCTGAAAGCACTCCCACAGCCAGCAGCTCCGGACAACAACATCCATTTTGCTAATGACTGGAATAATGACGGCATTCTTGTTAGTAACTGTGGCGATAACAAGGCAAACACTAGTCGTAATTATTGTAAAATGTGCAGAAGGCAATTTAGAATAATAAATGTTTCGAATGCAGAGAGCACATGCGCACACAGAAGAGCCCATAGCTAGCTGGATCTCTCCACCTGTGGTGCACAAGGGCCCTCCTGATTGCATTGTCTGGAATAATGTGTCGTGTGGTGGTGCTCAAATTGAACAATGCCAGGTCCCCCCCACTTCGCTGGCATAAGTGGGGCATGCTGGGGCCTCTGCTTGCAAGGCATCCTGCTGGCTTTCCAGCCAAAACAGAAAACTAAAGGCTGACCCAAGTCCCCAGGGAGGAGAGTTAAAAAACAATGCCCAGGGGAAGAACAACCCCAGAGCTGAGGTACTCCAATGTTTCTGCCCCATGCAGATATCATCCTGATACCCCAGCAGGAGGCACACCATCTGCCTGGCCATGAAGTAAGATCCCATATTCAACAAGCCTGGTACTGAATGGGGACATCTCTTTGCGGTAGATGTAGACTAGTTTCCATGCATGGATAGACCTTTGCTCTTATGTTCTGGAGAGGAACTTTTTACAACAGCCTGTAGTGACAGGACAAGGAGGAATGGCTTTAAACTGACAGAGGGGAGACTGAGATTAGATATTAATAAGAAATTGTTCTACTGTGAGGGTGGTGAGGTGCTGGCACAGATTGTCCCGAGAATCTGTGGCTGCCCCATCCCTGGCAGTGTTCAAGGCCAGGTTGGACGGGGCTTGGAGCAACCTGGTCTAGTGGAAGGTGTCCCAGCTCATGGCAGGGAGTTGGAACTAGATGAGCTTTAAGGTCCCTTCCAACCAAAACAAATCTGTGATTCTATGTAAGGCAGCATTTGAGGTGAAATGTGAATTATGGGCAGCAGTAGGAGATGAGAGGCCAAGAAAGAGACCAAAGGGAGAAGGAGAAGGGTGGAGTAAGAAGAGGGGTCCAGAGGATGAGCAAAGTGGATGAAGAAAGCACGGGAGAAGAAGAGGGGCCTGGGAAGCTCTCATTTAAAAAGCTGGAAGCTCCCTGCCAAAGTAAACAGTTGGACATGTAGAGTTCTACATGTCTCTGCTTAATTTTGACCATCTGGCATTTATTGAAATTGCTTCCCTTTGTATTTGCTATGATGAAGTGGTTTTGTATTCCTACTTTCTCTCCCTCCTTTCTCCTCTCAGTCTGACATGTAGCTTCTGTCCTGCCTTTCATCTAAACACGTCCCTGCAGTGACTGTTGAGCAAAGAAGACAACTGTGGGGAGCGAATCCCAAGAGGGTACCAGGCATGGGGAGCAAATGCCTGCATACAGACAGCCACGGAGAGCTTACAGCTCTGCCCACACTGTTACCCCTAGTCTTACGTATTTCGCTTCCCTTGGCTCCAGTCTGGGAAAGTAACAGACTGAGAGGAAAGAAGGAAAGAGAAATCAGAGCAGAAGTTAAACAGGATAACAGAAAAGCAGGGAAGAAAAAAACTTAAAAAGGTGAAATTGCAAAGTGATGACAGGCTGGTGGAAGGGAATTAGCAGAGAGGAGGGCTCTGTTCACGTCCTCCTCTCCATGAACTGCCATGTGATTAGCCAAAAGAGCCATTTTGTAGGGAACTTTGGCACCAGCCACTCTCCTGCAACAAGGGCGAGAGACTGAAATAATCAACATTTTCTGCAGAACAGAAATGCAAACATTCAAATTCACGTCTCAACTGACAGTTTCAGTCAAAATACATCACCCTGACGTTCTTCAATTAGAAGAGATTCACAGACTCATTTCGCGGCATAGCCTGCAGTCCCAGGCCAAATTATACAGCCACGCTGCCATAGCTTGTATTTCCTGTAAGTGAGCAAGAAACCTCTGAGCCTCACTGTGCACTCCCAAGCCTATAGCAAGGAGGAGCTTTTTCAGTAGTTTTTCCAGGAAGCCTGTCCCAGTGGAAAAAAGACATGAAAGCAACACAACCACAAGGGTGGGGAGATGTTTCCTTTGCCCTGTTCAGCCTCTGAACACTTCAGAGCCAGAACATTATTCATTGCAAGGTTTTACACAGCAAATGCATGGCTCTGTCACTTTGGTATACCGTTACGATGCTTCTCATAGCCACAATGCTGGGAGGACTGCAGGCAGAAAGAAGCTCAGTGGCTGTGCTGGCACAAATTAGTGGAGCTGAAACTTTAGATCAGTGACAGAGTCTGCCTCCTGGGAGCAGTAAATTGTGATGCTGGTCCCTAAAGACCCTCCTTGCCATTAAGTGATTAATGAATTCATTAACACCTCTTAGAACACAGGAAATATGATATGGACAGCCTGCTTAGGCTTTGCAAAGGTTTTTAGTTGGGTTTTGGTTTTTTTTTTTTCCTTTTAAGAACAGCAGAGAATAGTGACTAATTAAGCTATATGGCCCATGATAGCACTACTACATTTATCCACTGGAGATGAGCAGAGCGGTAAGATTCTCTTGTCTCATGCTCTGGCAAGCTTTTATTTGACCCATAACAAGATGCTAAAATAAGGGGTTTATTGCTATTATAAACCTTTCATTTGAAAGGGAGGGGGGAAGACTTTTTGCTGTAATGGCTTTAAATGACTTTCCCAGTGCTCCCAATCCAACGGTGGAATAGTCCCAGGGTAACTGGAGGTAACAGTCAGGGCAAGGAAAGGGGGAGGAATTGCACAATGGTCTCTTCAAGCCCTACAGAGAGCCTTAATTCTTGCCCTAAAGCCACATTCAAGACCCATTTCAGTGACAGTTTTATTTACCAAATGTAACATACCCAACAGGCTAAACACTTGGGATAAAGTGTGAGCTGGACTCGGTGTCTGACACCTGCATTAAATCAGGGCACAAGATTACCTCCCACACTGTACATCAGCAAGACACTCCTGGTGCTCCTGTGGCTCCAGCCAAGCAGCTGACAAGAGGTAATCATCCCCTGCCGCAGTGATAACAAGTGCCTCTCACCCCACATGTGCCTTGGGAGGGTATCTGAGGTCCAGCTTCCTGCTGAGCCTGCAATCTAACCTCACCAGTCATGGATGAAGATGCCTCAGCAGCAGCCAGGCAGGGCTAGCACTGTCTTGCTCAGGAAGTGATGCCCACATTACCCACTCTGAAGGGATAAATAGTTGCTACTTGAAGCTCATTTCCTTTTACTCCTCTTGCTTGTACCCATGTCACATATTTGCTGTATGATTGCAGAGAACGCAGGATTCATCTCTACAGCCACCAACTTCTGCAGAAATTCCTTTCCATAACACAAATGGAACAACTGCCCTTCACCACAAAATGGCACAGCAACCCTGAGGCTGGCTCTTTGCCTTAGTTTGCAGTGTCCTATAAGACCTGTCATGGGAACATGAGCTTGGGCTACATTACAGTTCACTTCTAGATACAGTTTGAGTTTGCTTGTGAAGGGCCACACAAGTCCAAGGGGACAGGAGATGCTCTGTACATAACACTGTGCCACTGAAGATAAATGGAGGTGACAAGGAGCCACCACGTATTCCTGCCTGTGGGCAAGCGTCAGGGCTTTGGGAAATTTGAAATTGTGGAGAATCAGGCCCAAAGACAACACTTTCAAAGAGTAAATTGAAGAGAGCTGAAAGAAAGCCCCTACACAAAGATTAAAGGGCATGAGGTATTGATTTACTTAGGAAGATCAAAAGAGCTATATTTGTATATAGTAGTTCAGCTAAGTGATGACTAAGTGTTTAAAAGGAAGAGTTTGAAGGACATAAACCAAGAGAGGGACCATTAGGGTGAGTGCAGTGAAGAGGGTTAACAGGAGCAGTAGTAGAGTGAAAGAAAAGGAAATGAAGATCTCATCTGCCTGCCCACAGACACTTTTTAGCAGGCCCCATCAGCACTGAACCGAAAGCCACATTTGGCAAACCAGCTTCCCAATGCATTCCAAGCCCCATCCTGAACCCTGCAGCTCACTGCACCTCCACTAACAATGCAGCTTGTGCCACGCCACAGGCATCCAGGAGCATGCGGGAAGGTCCTCAAGGGGACTTGGTACCATCACAGCCCATGCAACACTTTTCAGATTGGCAATACCAACATACCTCAGACTCTCAACGGTGGAAGCCCTGTGCCTGCCCAGCTCACACAATACCCCAGACAGACACAGAAACAAGGAGCTGTATATCTCAGAATCACTTCTGAGGACTCAAGTGTCCTGCTGCATCCACTCCAAGGCCTAAGGACCTCGTCCCCGGACTTTAAACTCATTTAAACTTTATCGGAGCTATTTCTTCTTGTCTGGAAATAGTGTTTGCAAAGCACTAACCTGAGTAATGGCACAAAACTTAATCCATCCTCATGGTTTGGTAACACCCCAGACCTTCTGCTTGATTCTGCTTTCTCAGACTGCTCTACCTTTACTGAGCTACACAGGATTTGCAGGGCTAGAGCTGGGATCACAGCCAGAATACCAAAAGCTATTCTGTTCCTCAAGATAATTCAGACCCAGGTGAGAAAAAGTTAGTTAAAGTGACTTTTTAATAAGTGACCTTCCTTTAGCCTCCCTCTGTGGGCTCAAGTTGACAGATGTCTACCTAGTGCTTCCAAAAGCAGCAGCCAGAAGCATTTCAGACACTGGTACCTTGGAAATCCTCCATGGAAAAAAGTCTGTGTACATAAGACAG